GTACCTTGGGGAAGAGGGGAGGGCTTGGAGCCGGGGATGGGGGGGGAGAGGGATGCGGGGACATGGGGACACGGGGACATGGGAACGTGGGAATTTGGGGATATGCGAGACACAGGGATGCAGAGGGTCACGGGGACATGGGGCCACGGGGATGCAGGGACGTGGGGACACAGGGACACAGGGTCATGGGGACATGGAGTCACAGGGATGCGGGGACATGGGGACACGGGGATGCGGGGACATGGGGACACGGGGTCCCATCCACCAGGATGCCCCTTGCAGTGGAAGAACCACCCTCCCCAGGCAAATCCACCCCAGCGACGGCCGGAGGGGACGCTCCAGCCCCATCCCCCCATCCTCAGCCACCCGCAAATGCCTCGGGGACGCTGCACCCCAAGATGGGAGATGACACCGAGGGGGACCGTCGCGCAACCCCGACCGCCCCCAACCACACAAGGCACCCTGGGAGGGGCACAAGCGGCGGGGCACAGCCCTGCCAGCCCCGGCCGGATCCCGGACGCGGGGACGGGACTGACTTGTTCTTGAACTCCTCCACCAGCCCCTGCATGTTGCCCAGCTCGGCTTCCAGGCGCAGGCGCTCCTGGCCCAGGCCCTCGAGCTGGTGGCGCAGGTTGGCGATGTACGCCTCGAAGAGCCCGTTCATGTTGCTGCGGGTGGTCTTCTGGGTCTGCAGGAGGCTCCACTTGGTCTCCAGCATCTTCGGCGCCCAGCGTGGGTCTTGGGGATGGGTGCTCGGTGCCGGTGCTGGTTTGCAAGGGGCAGAGGGTGAGGTGGGCGAGTGGGGTGGCAGGGGGCAAGGCTGGGGTCCCGAGTGCAAATCTGGGGCCCCGGGTGCAAATCTGGGGTCCTGGGAGCAAGCTGGATCTGGGGTGCAAGGCTGGGGTGCTGGGTGCTGCTTCGCGAGGGGCAGAGGGTGAGTGGGGTGGCAGGGGGTAGATCTAGGGTCCTGGGTGCAAATTTGGGGTCCTGGGAGCAAGCTGGATCTGGGGTGCAAGGCTGGGGTGCTGGGTGCTGCTTCGCGAGGGGCAGAGGGTGAGTGGGGTGGCAGGGGGTAGATCTAGGGTCCTGGGTGCAAATTTGGGGTCCTGGGAGCAAGCTGGATCTGGGGTGCAAGGCTGGGGGTCTTGGCTGCAAGGCTGGGGTGCTGGGTGCTGCTTTGCAAGGGGCAGAGAGGGATGTGGGTGAGTGGGGTGGCAGGGGGCAGATCTAGGGTCCTGGGTGCAAGCCTGGGGGGTCTTGGGTGCTGGTTTGCAAGGGACAGAGGGTGAGGTGGGTGAGAGGGGTGGCAGGGGGCAAGTCTGGGGTCCTGGGTGCAAATCTGGGGTCCCAGGTGCAAGTCAGGGGGTCTTGGGTGCAATTCTGGGGTCCTGCGGTGCAAACTGGGTCTGGGGTGCTTCTGGGGTCCTGGGGTGTAAGTCTGGGGTTCTGGGTGCAAGCCTGGGGGTCCCGGGGTGCTTCTGGGGTCCTGGGGTGCAAGCCTGGGTTCTCAGCTGCAAACTGGGGTCCCAGGGTGCAAGTCCGGGGTGCAAGTCTGAGGTCACCGGGTCTGGGGTGCAAGTCTGGGGTCCCGGGTGCACTCTGGGGCGCAAGTCTGGGGTCGCTGGGTCTGGGGTGCAAACCTGGGGCCCTGGGTGCAATCTGGGGTTGCCCCCAGGGGAATCGCCGTCCCCCCACGCCCCGCCGGGCCCCAGCCTGCCGCAGGGCGAGGAGCCCGGCTCCAGCGGAGCACCCGGAAGCGGGTGCTGGGGAGGAAGGGTGCCAGAGCCACTGGGGCGTGGAGCACCCACCCCAGCGCTGGCTGATTCCTCCGTTGGGGGGGGTGCCCCCATTGCACCCCGGGGGGAGGCAACACTCACCCCCACCCCATCCCGCCCCAGCTCCTGCGCCGGCGGCGCTCCGGGCTCGCCCGCCATGTCCTGGCCCCCAGCAGTGGGAGGGGACCAGGGTGTCCCCACGGCTGGCTGCGCATCCCCAGGGGAGCCAGGAGGTCCCCGAGGGGCGGCAAAATGTGCCCAAAGGGGTCAGGGTGTCCCCAAGGGGGTGTGGAAGTCCCCGAGGGGGGGGGAAATGTGCCCAAAGGGGCTAGGGTGTTCCCAAGGGGGTCTGGATGTCCCCAAGGGCACCAAGATGTCCCCAAGGGGCACAAAATGTGCCCAAAGGGATCAGGAGGTCCTCAAGGAGGTCTGGATGTCCCCATGGGGGCCAGGATGTCACCAAGGGGGTCAGGAGGTCCCCAAAGGGCCAGGAGGTTCCCAAGGGGGGTCTCAATGTCCCTACGGGCCTCAGGATGTACCTGAAGGGGCCAGGAGGTCCCCGAGGGTCTCAGGAGGTCCCTTAGGGGGTCTCAATGTCCCCAAGGGGGTCAAGATGTGCCTGAAGGTGTCAGAACATCCCCGAGGGGCTCAGGAGGTCCCTTAGGGGGTCTCAATGTCCCCAAGGAGCTCAGGGTGTGCCTGAAGGGGCCAGGAGGTCTCCGAGGGGCTCAGGAGGTCCCCAGGGGGGTCCCAGCCCTCTCCCCGCGGGGTCTCGCCCCAGCCCAGCCCCACCTTGTCGATGAAGGAGGCGAACTTGTTGTTGAGTGTCTTGATTTGCTCCTTCTCCTCCTTCCGCACCCGCTGGATGCTGGGGTCGATCTCCAGGTTGAGGGGCGTCAGGAGGCTCTGGTTGACGCTCACGGCTGGGGGGGCACCCC